GCTCTCTTGCCTCATAAGAACGGCCACACTGGATCCGTCTAGCCCAGTCTCCTGACTTCGACAGTGGCCAACGCCAGGTGGCCCCAAGGGAATGAACAGACCAGGGAATCGGCAAGTGATCCTCCCATTTTGGAAGGGCTGGTTTTCCAGGGCTTGGAAAGCTCTCCATGCCAAGTCTCAGTGCACAGCCTCTGGGAGGCTTCATCAGAGTTTGTTTTAATTCTGCTTTTTAAATAAACTTGTTTTCCTGTCTCTGACGCGAGACGTCTGGGCAGAGCTTGTTTGCCTGGAGAGTTTAGTCAAGTCGCCTCCCTCCCCCTTCCTCCAAACCCAACAGGGAGACCTCAGAGCGTCTCCTGGCTTCGAGTGAGCATCCGATGCTGAGACCCCGGCCCCAGCCAGTCCCCTGATGTTTTACGGCATGAGAGACGGGGATGTGATCGGCGTGCAATGCAGCTTGGTTTGGGGGCTCCGGTTTTCAAATCAAACCCCTTCTCCTCACTCAGCTCCCCCTTTGCTCCACTCGGTGACGTTTCAGCGCCTCAGGCAGAAATGGCACAAAGGGCAACTTCCAAGCCAAACAACCCCCATTGGAAGATGCAGAGGAGAACCCCCCACAAGACAGGGGCCTGCGGCGAGGGAGGGACCAGCCGGCGTCGGCTGTACTTTTCCACCCAAAATGCCCATCAGAGGGGGAAGAGCCAGTGACCTCAGCTTCGGGTCTTGGCAGCGCTGGGAGACGCTTTCAGCCGCCTCCAGAGCAAATAAAGGCGAGAGGAAGGGACTTGGTGTACGGAACAGGAGGATGGGGGCGGAGGGAGGACCCTGGTTGCACTAAGCAGCAGCCAAGTCACAGGAAACTGATTTTCCCCTCCTCCCTACCCACTGCTCGGGAGCCTATGGTACTGAATACCAGCAATTGCTTGGACCTATGGGCCGCCGGGCAGAGAACCTTCCAGACTCACCAAAATCCCCAGTACGGCTGGGGAGCCCTGGGAGGGAGTAGATACTGACGTGTGTGTACCATACCTGTGAGCCCTGGCACGGTCAGACATGCGGCCCACTTTCCTGACCGGCCCAGTGCTCTCTACATAGATTTCACCAGCCCTGTGGTGAAAACGGGCCGTGTTCTCAAGAGCCTGAGAACGGGCCTGTCCGGGGACCGGTGAGAGAGGACGTTGTGCGCTGGGATCGTGTGAGGCCTCCTTTGGCCAGGTGATCCCGGCTGGAATGAGGCCCCGGTGAATTAAATCGCCCTGCTGCTGCTTGTCGCCATGAGCCACCTTGGGGGGCCATGAAGGCACCGTCCTGCGTCATTCTTGGGAGCTGCCGTCTCCTTTCCCTGAGGAACGGCAGGCGCTCCGACTTGGTGGGAGGCAGGAAGAGAGCAACCGCGTCGGTCTGGGTTAAGCCAGCCTGGCGTCGGTGGAGCTGCGGCTGTTAGCTTTCCGCAGCACAGGGCTGGGCAGGAGCGAGCGTCCTTGAGCTGCTCAAAAGACAGACCCTAGAACACTGGAACTGGAAAGGACCTCGAGAGGTCATCGAGTCCTGTCCCCGGCCCTCGCAGCAGGACCCAGTTCTGTCTAGACCATGGGTTCCATAGAACCAGGGGGTGTATTCCCCTGGGGGGGGCGTGAAGAAATTCTAGGGGGGGTGCAAGGCGATCCCGCCCCAAGTTTTGCTGCTATTTTTTTGGGAGGGGGAGCGTGAGGGTTTCTCAAAAATCAAAAAGGGGGGCATGATGCCAAAAAGTTTGGGACCCACTGGGCTAGACCATCCCTGATAGAGGTTTATCTAACCTGCTCTTAAAGACCTGGAGAAGGAGCCCTCCTAAAACACAGGGCTTGTTCGCCGCTCCCTTAGCCTGGGGATTAGCTGCACTTACCCGTTGGGGAGGGATTCTGCCCCTTGCTGGGGGTCTCTTACAGAGCATCACAGCCCAGGTGTGCGGAGGGAGCCAGGCGTTTGGGAGAGTCAGGAGGAAAGAGACTGGGAGTCCGGCAAGCCCTTTGGAGAGGTGCCAGCCCTGGGCTGGGATTTGGCTTTCGCAAGAGGGAGGAAGTGACAAGAACTTTGTCTCGCCCCATCCCTCCCTCCGACGCGGGGACTCTGCCTGCATATTAAGTGCCCAGCCGGGGCCTTTCCACCCTCTCCTTTGGGAGTTTAATCCCTCAGACAGGACTCAAGAGGGCTGCAGGGCCAGACTAATTTCACCAGCACCTCTCTCGCTGTGGGGGATTTAAAACAGGACTCCCGGCAGCTGGCACAAACTGGCCCCACTTGGCAGGGCCCCCAGAAAAGCCAAGGAAGGAGACCCTGGTCTCCCCTCAGCTCTAGGGACAAGGGTGAGGATTCTGCGCCCCGCCCCACTCCCGCCCCTGTGCGCTGTTCCGGAGGTGGAGAGGTGCTGAAAAGCACGTGCAAGCAGCCTGGGGAGACTTCCCCCATGCAGGCATCGTGGAGGGTCGCAATCGGCAGCCTAATGTTGCCCCCAGTGCAAGAAATGGGCTGGAGTTTGGGGGGGCAGGTGGAGGAGGGGGAAAGCCATAGCAGGGAGCACTATGGACATTCTGGGCTGCAGGAAGGCTCATCAACAAGGTTCCTTCTACATTTTTCACCCATGTGCGGAATAATGTGTTTATGTGCACCGAGGCATGTGCAGATGTGCACCACCAGTGAAAACAAAACCTAGCTGTGGGTGCTCTGCTAATCTGCCAGGTGGCATTGGACTCTCTCCTGAGTAGCCTTGCAGGTGCCCAGCATACAGGGAACACTACCCTCGGCAGGCCAGCCTGCTCCCACTGACGCCACTTGGTCCCTGGAGCTACTCAGCATGTGTCAAGCTGCCCCCGACCTGGAACACAACACAATGCATCTCTGTGCTCCCCCAGTCAGTTTGGGGGCCTGTTGGCAGGGCAGCCTGGGGGCAGCTGGGGGCTACCAGAGAGCCCTCAGTCCCTGGGTTTCCCTCCGCTTGTTTGTCTAAGGCCTGGGACAAGTTCTCAGCAGGGTGAGGCCAGGCAGGTGGCAGGTCTGAGGGCAACAGCGGGGGATAAAAAGTGCTGAGTGGCCACAGAGACCTCAGCCCTCCAGGAATGCAGGGAATGAGCAATGCCGCTCCTTCTAGTGTGCAGGGAGAGTGCCTGCACTGGCACGCACCAGACTCACTCTGGCTCACTCAGCATGTGTGTCACTGTGGAGACAAGCCCTAAAGAGCGAGCAACGGAGGGTCTCTGGAAAATAAGTGGGAGCGTTATCTGAGCAACACGCACAAAGGCCAAGTCCCGCGTCCCAAACTGAAGTCCTAGGAGCCACCTTAGAAAAGAGACACAGATACTGTAGGTCCCCCAGAATGTTTTTATAGGAGCTAAGGGACAGATGTTGATTTGCCTACATTGCCTCATGCAGGGAGTTAAGCCTGGTTAAGGTTGCTGGCAGGCCAGGGATTTTTAGCAGCATAATGACTTGAAGAGAGAGAAAAATGCAGAGAATTCTGGGAGTTCTTGAAACTTCTAAAACTTCTGGAAAAGTTATGTAGGGATCACGTACCTTCCATCTGACTTGTTCTCTTTCCCCCTCTCTTATTCTGTCTCCCTTTCTTTTTTGCTCCCCAATTTCTCGTCTCTGAATGGAGCATGTGAAGCATGATGAAGTTTTACATGCAATCCCTAGAGGCTATCCCTAATCTTTTCCAATGAACAATGGCTTTTTCCCCCACGTAAACATTTTTGCAGAAGATTTTCATTCTCATTGCAATTTTCTGATGTTTCAAAGAAAAAATAGAAACCAGAAACGCAACATTTTATTCCATAAAATGTTCAATTGTCAAAAACCATTTCGCCCCCACTAAAGACAGCTTTTGATTTCAGTTTTTTACCCAAAAGCCAACTTCTTTTTTTTGCAGGTTTGTTTTTTATTTCCTTCCCCGTTTCCCATGACTGTATGGGTGCATCTACACCGCACCATTATTTTGAGATAACTAGCGCTATTTCGAGATAACAATGTGAGTGTCTAAACAGCCATTCTGTTATTTTGAAATAATTCCAGAATAACGGGCGGCTTATTCCAAAATCTCTAAACCTCATTCTACGAGGAATAACACCTCTTCCAACATAGCTATTTCGAAATAAGGTGTGTGTAGATGTTCCACTGCTGCTATTTCGAAATAGCGCCTCACCAGGGCCTTCTAAGTTATTCCTCCTCAGTGCCTCCTAGGGCGCTAAATCGAGATAGCACATCAACACTAGGGAAGCCGGCCTCAGACTAATTTTGAGGCTTCCCTGCAGTGTAGACGTGCTATTTTGAAATAAGCTATTTCGGAGTACTTCGCAATAAGCGTGCAGTGTAGGCGTACCTTAATTGGCCAGTGTGTTGTTTTAAAGAGCTTTGGGTACGTCCACACTACCCCGCTAGTTCGAACTAGCGGGGTAGTGTATGCATACCGAACGTGCAAATGAAGCCCGGGATTTGAATTTCCCGGGCTTTATTTGCATAAGCGGGGAGCCGCCATTTTTAAATCCCCGCTGCTTCGAACCCCGTGTAGCGCGGCTACACGGGGCTCGAACTAGGTAGTTCGGACTAGGTTCCTATTCCGAACTACCGGTACACTCGAACGCTACACGGGGTTTGAAGCAGCGGGGATTTAAAAATGGCGGCTCCCCGCTTATGCAAATAAAGGCCTGGAAATTCAAATCCCGGGCTTCATTTGCACGTTCGGTATGCATACATTACCCCGCTAGTTCGAACTAGCGGGGTAGTGTGGACGTACCCTTTGAGACCAGCAGATGAACACCACTCTAGACAGGAGCTCATAGTTTTGAGCCGGATTCTTGGTTCAGGACCTTGAAGGCCTTTCCCACCCCCGATCCAAGCTCTCTCTAGATCCAGCCTGGACACGCAAGTTACCCTGAGACCCTCCTGCAGCGAATTCTGCAGGCGATGCTGCTGTGCTCGTGATGCTAAGGTCCAACCCTTGCTCCTTTTCTCTCCGGTTTCTCCAGGCTTCCTTGAAAGATGCGGGCCTGGATCTTCTTCCTTATCTGCCTGGCTGGCAAGGCACTGGCAGCCCCTGTAAGTATGGTGCCTGACCCTTCGGTCTCCTGCACATAGTACTGAATTAACCCCAACTCTAATTGCCCCACTGGGCAGTAGGTGAACTCAGGGCTGGGGGAGGCAAGCCCCCAGATCCCGCCCCTTCTACCCAAGCCCCCACCCATGCTGCCCATAGCCCCCTGGGGGAGCCACGCCCCCCACAGTAGGGACAGTCGCAGCCCCTCCCCCTCGAGAAAGGGAAGCCCGTGGTCCAGCTCCCACCCCTCACTGGAGCACAGGCACCTCCCCACCCCTCCCCCATGGCCCCAAGCTTCCTTGGGCAGGCGGCGTGCGGTCTCAGCCCTCCAGGAGCGTGGGCAGGCAGGATGGTAACCCCCTTCCCCAGCCCCAGAGCATGGGCAGTGCAGGGTTAAAGCCCAGACCGCCCCGGGAGACTGGGGGAATGGCACTGAATGGGGGCAGGGTGTGGGCGGGGCCAACCAGGCAGCCTGGAAAGGCATTGACTCCCTTGTCCACAGCTGGCGGAGCTGCTGTGCATCTGGCAGCCCACTTCCCATGGGTTTGGGATCCTCCCTCATCTTTACCGTCGCCCACCCGCTGGCGGTGCCAGGGTCATGGCCTGGTCCTCATCTCCTGGTTCCGATTAAACGCCTCCATCTCCCAGGAAACCCTTGCACGGGGAGGAAGCCAGGCAGCCATGTTGCAGGAGGGCTGGGGGAAAGCCGGGAGCAAAGGCCCGTGAGAGGACGGAACAGAATCCCTCGGGAATGGCACACTTACTATGTATGTGCCTTCTGAGCCCCGGCACCAACTCACACCCCATGGCAGGAAGAGTTCATGGCTGGGGGCAGCCAGTGTTCCCTCTAAACTTTTCCACCCATGTGCGGAATAATGTGTGTACATGCACCGAGGCAGGTGTGAATGTGCACCACTGGTAGAAACGATCTGTGGGCGTGTGGCTGGTCAGCAGGGTGGCATTTGAATCTCTCCTGAGCAGCCACACAAGCACCCAGCTTACAGGGAACACAGGGTGCGGCCCAAAATGGTGCCTAAACTAAAAAAGTAGGAATGCATGGACATTGATTCCTTGAATGCGGAATGAAATAACCCGGCGTAATGGGTAGGGGGAGAAAACGCTCCTCTTGGGGAGGGACGCACGCCTGCCGCGGGGAAAGGGACCCAGACATCAACACGTGGTCCGGCAGGAGCTGTGAGGAACAGAACTGCTTTGGATTCCAGTAGCCATTCGGGAGGAGCGATGTTCAGCCGGCAGACGCCTGGCAGCTGACATTCCACTACAGCCAGGCCTCCGACCACTGAACCACACTCCCTCCCGTGCGGCTCCTGGGAGCGAGCTAAGGCTGCGTCCCAGGCCAACGGTATGGGAATGGCTGACACCCTTCATCAGGAGAGGTGCCGCTTGGCGCTGGTGCCGCTGGGCGTTGAGGAAGCAAACAAGGGCTGGGCACAGCCCCATAGCAGAGTGAGGAGAAATGCAAAGGTGCAGGGAAGAGAGGCAAAAGGTATCCCCCTCCCCATACTTCCCCAGCCAGCAGGGCCCCACGTGGATCTGGACTGGGCCATGCCAAGGGGGATGTGGGGCAGGAGACGTTTCTGACAGCACTTTCCCCCGTCTCTCTCCCTTCCAGCAGGATGCCCTTCCCGACGAGACTGAAGTAGTGGAGGACCCTACCACCACGGTACGGAAGCCCGTGCTCTCTCGTGCTCCTGTAACCTGCGCCGCTCTCCTGCCCACGCACCCCTGCCCCCGCTGCCCTGTGGGGAACGGGAGGGGAGACGGGGCAGACACATACTCGAGCCAGACGGTCACTTCTTCCCAGGCCACGTTCAAGGCGGCCAGTTTCCTGAAGGCAGGGGCTTGGTCCTTCCCACCCGGTCCTGTGCTGAGAGCTGTCGACTGGATGGGCTTATCCATTCCAGACCTGGCACCGACCTTCCAGCTTCACTTGTGCTGGGCCCCGGCTCTGCCCCTCTTGTGCTGTGACCAGCCCAGAGTGTCCATGGCTGGGTGTGCGGCACCCCAAGAGCACCCCCTGTGGCTCATTGTCCCCTAGACCTCACAGCCAGAAGGGACCATGGCACTTAGCTAGGCCCCTGCACCTCAGCCAGCCCCCCTGCTCGTAGTCCCCGAAGCCTGGCTGAGCTAGAGAACTTACAGAGACTCCACCGCCTCCACGAGTGTAACCCTGCAAGCGCCCCGTGCCCCACGCTGCAGAGGAAGGCGAAAAACCCTCGGGGTCTCCTCCCATCTGACCGGGGAGGAAATTCCTTCTTGACCCCAAATCTGGCAATCAGATAGTCGGGGGCAGGGAACCTTTTTTGAGTTGGGAGCCACAGAAACATCAGTCGGGGGTCGCACACTAGTGAGAAGCCCCTGAGAGCCAGAAGGAGAAAGATGCTCCCCACATTCCCCTCGCACACCAGAGCTGGGAGGGGGCAGCCTGGTAGATTTTGTGTGCTCCAGCCCCATGGTGAAGAAGCGGAGGGGCTGGAGCGCCAATACGGGCTCCCCTATGCCTTGAGTCTCAGGGGCCGGATCCAGGCAAGCCGGGGGCCACATCTGGCCCCGGGCCATAGGTTCCCTACCCCTTTAGATCCTGAGCATGTGGGTAAGACCCACTGGCCAGACCCCTGGGAAAGAATTCGCTGTTGACTCAGAGCCCTCCCCATGGCGTGTCCCACCTCGGGCCATGCGTCCCCTGCCCACGCTTCCGTGTGGAGCTCCACCCCCTTTCCGTGGTACCGGCTACCCCTTGGCCAATCAGAATGGCTCAGCTGGTGTCCTGCCTTCCAGGAACCCGTCGGCATCAATCCCGTCCAGGTGGAGGTTGGGGAGTTCAAGGAGCCCACCGAGGACGCGGAGGAGATTGTGGCTGAAAGTAAGTGACGTCCCGCCTCCCCTCTCCCCGCCCTGCTCCGCAGCCTCCCCGCCAAGGGGCCAGAGAGAGCTGTCCCCTGGAGCTCCCAACCCATGGGCACCTTGGCAGCGGGGGATCCCTTCGGGGAGGGCTACAGGGCGCAGGGGAAGGACAACGCTGAGTTAGCGGGTCCCACTGCAGCCCTTGGGTTTCACAGCTGGGATGACAAGGGCTGGACTCCCGAGCAGCTGCCTGAGCTGATGAAAGGTCCCTCCCATGGGGCCGAAGCAAAGGGGCTGCCCCGGCTGAAGGGCTGAGGAGCAGCGTAAAGGGGGCTGGAAATTGTCTTGCATCTCCGGTGTGTCTAGGGGTGATCCCTGGCTCAGCATCCCCCCTTTCATTTCCAAGACCCCCCCGCCCCGAGTTTTTCATGCGCTTGGCTGCGGAGGCCGCTGCACATCCTGGCTACGTCTACACTGGCATGATTTTCCGGAAATACTTTTAACGGAAAAGTTTTCCATTAAAAGCATTGTCGGAAAAGTACGTCTAGATTGGCAGGATGCTTTTCCGCAAAAGCACTTTTTGCGGAAAAGCGTCCGTGGCCAATCTAGACGCGCTTTTCTGCAAAAAAGCCCCGATCGTCATTTTCGCCATCGGGGCTTTTTTGCGGAAAACGCTACTGTGCTGTCTACACTGGCCCTTTTCCGGAACAGTTTTCCGGAAAAAGACTTTTGCCCGAACGGGAGCAGCATAGTTTTTCCGAAAAAGCACTGATGATTTTACATTAGATCATCAGTGCTTTTCCGGAAATTCAAGCAACCAGTGTAGACAGCTGGCAAGTTTTTCCAGAAAAGCGGCTGATTTTCCGGAATAACTGGCCAGTGTAAACACAGCCCCTCTGTCCAGGAGAGGAGGCTCCAACTTCGCTTTCCCGCCCTCTTTCAGATCCCTGCCAGAACCACCACTGCAAGCACGGCAAAATTTGCGAGGTGGACGACAACAACACCCCCATGTGCGTGTGCCAAGACCCCTCCACCTGCCCCCCCAGCGGGAGCGTGTACGAGAAGGTGAGCAGGGCAGCGAAGCGCCGTGAAGGAGGATACGGCTGGGAGCAGCTGAAGGGTTTTGCAGACTGAGTGGAGGGGAGGGAATCTTCCCGCTGGGTCCCAGGTTTGAATCCTGCCCCGGACAATAATCCCCAATCGGGCGGCCCATCTGAGATACATTAGTTGCCTTGTCCTGGTTCCTGTAGGGACGTCGTCAGAGCCAAGCGTTGGCCAGGCTGATGCCCCGTGAGTCTCTCTAACGTTCGGTCCCCTTCCCCGCAGGTGTGTGGCACTGACAACAAGACCTACGACTCCTCCTGCCACTTCTTTGCCACCAAGTGCACCCTGGAGGGCACCAAGAAAGGACACAAACTCCACCTGGACTACATCGGCCCCTGCAAATGTGAGTTTGCACCTGCCCGGAGGCCAGGACGGGAACCAGCCCACACATAGCCCCTGGCAAGTGCCTAGGGCACATCCAGCCGCTGCTCAGCGGCCAGCTAGCCCCAGTGCCCAGCTTTCAACCCTGGCGGCCCTCGCTGCCGCCTTCAAATCAAAGCCTGAAAGCACAAAGGTGCTGCGGGAAGCACCGGCCCTCCCCCCACGAGGGTGCGGAAGCGGGGGGGGGGTACCCATTTCAGGGGCGTGG